GGTCTGTCACCCAGGCTCGAGTGCAGTAGTGCGATCTCAGTTCACTGCAACATCCACCTCCTGGGTTCAAGCAATTCTCCTGCCTCAGCCTCCTGAGTAGCTGGGATTACAGGCGCCCACCACCATGTCCGGCTAATTTTTCTATTTTTAGTAGAGACGGGGTTTCACCATGTTGGCCAGGCTGGTCTTGAGCTCCTGACCTTGTGATTCACCCGCCTCGGCCTCCCAAAGTGTTGGGATTACAGGCGTGAGCCACCGTGCTTGGCCATGAGACCCTGTCTCTAAAAAATAAATAAATCAAATGAAATCAGCTACGCCTGTAACCCCAACACTTTGGGAAGCTAAGGTGGGTGGAGCACTTGAGGTCAGGAGTTGGAAACAAGCCTGGCCAACATGGCAAAACCCCGTCTCTACTAAAAATACAAAAATTAGCAAGGCGTGGTGGTGAGTGCCTATAATCCCAGCTACTCAGGAGACTGAGGCAGAAGAATTGCAAGAAATCAGCAGGGATCAAATGCTCAGGGGGCCGACTACAGGAGAGAAAAGGTGCAAACATCCGGTTTTTCTCTCCCAGTGCAATCACCTGGACAGGGCTTAGTTCTCCCAGCAGCAATGTGTGACAACATGCATGGCGTACTGCCAACCAGGGAAGCTCTTCTGAGCCTGGGTATCCAGGGTTTTTACAGAGGCTCAGACCTAGCTAACCACCTGTGTGGCTCACCTCAGTCTTCAGGCCCTCTAGAGGTCCAGCTGAGGCTGCAGGGCCCAGGACCCCCACCATAAATTATGTTGTTACTACCTGATGTGACCCAAGGCTCCCAGGCAAACAAAGACAGTCTTACCAGGCAGGACACCCCAAGGGTTTAGAGGGCATATTCCAGGAGCTGGACAGAGGCCAATCCTTTCCTTGGACTAGGTTAACCCATCATGCATAGGGTGACACCACCTCATCCTCCCACCTATGATCAGGAGAAGCTGTGGCCAGGCACAGTAGCTCATGCGTATAATCCCAGCACTGTGGGAGGCCAAGAGGATCACTTGAGGTCAGGAGTTCGAGACCAGCTAGGCCAACATGGTGAAAACCCCATCTCTACTAAAAATACAAAAATTAGCCAGGCATGGTGGTGCACGCTGGTAATCCCAGCTACTCAGGAGGCTGAGGTGGGAGAAATACCTGAACCCGGGAGGCCAAGGTGGCAGGGAGCTGAGATCGCGCCACTGCACTCCAGCCTGGGTGACAGCAAGACTCCATCTCAAAAGAAAGAAAAAAGGGAGAAGCTGGGATGGGAGAAATGGAAGCTGGTGCCAGGGCAGGGGGGTGTGGGCCAAAGTGACGAAGACCTGAGCCATGCAGGCACCTGCCAGTAATAACAGCTGCTCCCTGCAGCCCCACCAAGGCCAGCCTGTACGGAGCCGTCCTCTTCACCCTCCAGCAGACCCGCTGGCTCCCAGTGTCCAAAGCCACCCTCATCTTCATCTTCACCATGTTCATGGTGTCCTGTAAGGTAAGCCTTTTTCTTCCTGCTGCCTCATTGCCTTGACCAATGCCCGCCCCCCGCCACCTCCAGGCTGGGGATGGGGAAATTGGATACTCCTAGCCTTATGTGGCCGGGACAGGGCAGCCCAGAGAGGGACATGCTTGCCAGTAGCTTGCTGGGAAGAGGGTCTTTAAAAGGCAGCATCCAGCAGCCAGGACACAGGTGAGGGGAACAGGCCTTCTGTGCAAAGGGCCCAGCCTGAGCAAAGGTCAAGGTGGGCCCAGTCCCTTGGGTACAGAGACCAGAGGGACAAGAAGCTGACATGGCAGCATCAGGTAGCCGGGAACTCAGTTGGACCAGGAATAGTTCTAGTCTTGACAGTCATGCCTTGAGTTGACATCACCCCACCCAGGAGGGGTCTTCAGGGGCTGGGCTCTCTCCCTCTGCATGAAGACCTCAGCTCAGGACTCTAAGGCTGTCAAAAGGGAGTGAGCCCGCGTCTGCCTGTGTTAGGGAAAAAGGGAGAGGCAAGCAGATCACTTGAGGCCAGGAGTTCAAGACCAGCCTAAGCAACATGGTGAAACCCTGTCTCCTAAAAATACAAAAATTAGCCAGGCATGGTGGCGCATCCCTGTAATCTCAGCTACTCAGGAGGGTGAGGCAGGAGAATCACTTGAACCCGGGAGGTGGAGGTTGCAGTGAGCCGAGATTGCACCACTGTACTCCAGCCTAGGCAACAGAGTGAGACTCTGTCTCGAAAACAAACAGGCAAACAAAATACAAATACAAAAATTAACCAGGTATGGGTGGCGCATGCCTGTAATCCCAGCTGCTTGGGTGGCTGAGGCACGAGAATTGCTTGAATCCGGGAGGCAGAGGCTGCAGTGACCTGAGATCAGGCCATTGCACTCCAGTTTGGGCAACAGAGTGAGACCCTGTCTCCCAAAAAATAAAAAAAGAAAAACGAAAGAAATGTATTTCTTACAGTTCTGGAGCCTGGGAAGTCCAAGATCGGGGTGCTAGCCTGGTCAGGTTCTGATGAGGACCCTCTTTCCTGGTTGCAGACAGGCAACATCTCACTGTGTCCTCACATGTGGCAGGGACTGGTTAGCTCTCCTGGGCCTCTTTGTAAGGGCACTAATCTTATTCCTGAAGGCCCCACCCTCATGATCTAATCACCCCTCCAAAGGCCTCACCTCGTAATACCATCACCTTGGTGATAGCTTTCAACACATGAATTTGGGAGGACACAGACCTTCAGACTAGCACTTAGCATGGCTTTCCTCTGAGACCAGGAGTAGTGGGGAATTCTGGGGGATGGGTGACCAGCAGTCCCAGTGTGCTTGGAACTTTCCAGGGGTCAACACTGAAGTCTGGCATCCTGGGAAATCCGGGATGGTCATCCATTGTCCTGGGGGTGCATGCAGCTAGAGAGCTGGGTCTGGGCTACCTCCAACCTTGACTTTGCTGATGTTCTCTCCCCTCTTCTCCCCACGCTGCCATCCCCTGTTTGCTTTCTTCCTTGGTCTCCCTCTGTTTCTCTGGCTGTCCCGCTGGCCACCCCACCTCAGGTGTTCCTGACGGCCACCCACTCACACAGCTCCCCCTTTGATGTGCTGGAGGGCTACATCTGTCCCGTGCTGTTTGGTGCAGCCTGCGGGGGTGATCATCACCATGACAACCACGGTGGGCCCCACGGCGGCGGTGGTGGGCCAGGACCCCAGCATTCGGCCATGCCCGCCAAGTCCAAGGAGGAGTTGAGCGAGGGCTCCAGGAAGAAGAAGACGAAGAAGGCAGATTAGAGGGTGGCCCAAGGAGCACCAGGGAGAGAACCCGGACCTAGGACCCTCTGAGGTGGGAAGCTTCCTGTGCTCAGACCTATCCTTTCCTGGCCTTGAATTCCCCATCTGCAAATCAGGGTCATTGGCTCACCCTCCAGGGCTGATGTGGGGGTTGAGATATGAAGATGAGGATGAAGAACTTTTGTAGAAATCAGGGTTCCCTCTCTCTGTCTGCCAGGACCCCAGAGAGTCACAGCTTTTGGAGGGGTTCACAGAATCCTGGCAGCAGCTCTAGCCAGAAAGCCTGATTGGCAGTGATACTCTTAGTTCTATTTTTCCTTCTTTAAAATTGCATCTTGGCCGGGCGTGGTGGCTCATGCCTGTAATTATAGCACTTTGGGAGGCTGAGGCGGGTAGATCACCTGAGGTCAGGAGTTCAAGACCAGCCTGGCCAACATGGTGAAACCCCGTCTCTACTAAAAATACAAAAATTAGCCAGGCATGGTGGTGCATGCCTGTAGTCCCAGCTACTCAGGACGCTGAGGCAGGAGAATTGCTTGAATCCGGGAGGTGGAGGCTGCAGTGAGCTGAGATTGTACCACTGCACGCCAGCCTGAATGATGGAACAAGACCCTGTATCAAAAGAAAAAAAAATACATCTTAACTCCTGAAGAACTTCAAGCCATGTTGAGATTCATTCATTCGATGGACATTTTCTAAGTACCTGTGAGCCAAGTGCTGCCATTTCAAAGTCTCTTCTTACCCAAGCTCCTCAGTGGCTAGACCTCGCATGCCCAGCAGTCCCGACTCTTGCTGGGCGTCCCTGGGCAAGTTGCCTTCCTTCTCTGAGCTTGGCACTTCCCGTTTGTATAGTGGAGACCCTTGGCCCCCCCTCTGTACGGAAGGGCTGATGTGAAGCTGCAGCTGAAAAAGGCTCACATGCTCCTAAGCCTCGTGCCGTCAGGAGGGGAGACGGTTGGAAATTATGATTGCAAATGGCTTTGCATTTTAGATCGTTCGTGTGTGTGGATCAGAGAAACTGACAAGTTCCCTGGCACAAAGGAAGCCCTCCATAGACAGCCCTAGGGCAGGCTTGAGAGATCAGACGGTGTGAAAGGCTTGTGATCTGTTCATCTCAGTCTCCCCCAAACCAAGAAATGGAGCCAGCTGGGTGGGGTTCCATGATCCAGCTCTATCAACGGGCTCTGAGTGTGCACAGTTGGGACTGGAAGTATCAGGTCTCAGGTCAGAGCCCATTGTCACTCATTCAGTCATTCAACAAACATACAGATGCTTACCTACTCTGTGCTCAGCCTTGGGCTGCTGCCGGGTGGGCCAGGAACCTGCTCTGGGGTGAGCGAGGTGGATGATATTATAGCTGAAGGGTCCCTGCTGACCATCTCAGCCTAGGTCACCAGGATGTCTGAGAGGGTTGGGTACATGGGATGGGCATGGGCAGTCTCAGGTGAGGTTTGGGCCCAGACCAAGTCGGAGTCCCAGATGTCGCCAGGCTGCTGGAAAAGTGCCTTGTCCCTGTGATGCCTGGGACTTGGGTGGGTCCTGGGGAGGTGAGGCCTCAGTTTCATCCTCTTGCTTGTCCACCGCAGCTCGGCGTGGAGGGGCAGCCAATAAAATCATGGTGAATGAACCCTCATGGCTTGTCTGCTTTATGCCTGGGATATTTGTTTTGTTTTGTTTTGAGACGGAGTCTCAAAGCAGGGGATGGCAGGGTGGGGAGAACAGGAGAGAGAATGACCGTCAACAAAGTCAAGGTTGGAGGTAGCCCAGACCCAGCCCTCCAGTCGTCCAGGCTGGAGTGCAGCGGCACGATCTTGGCTCACTGCAACCTCTGCCTCCCAAGTTCAAGCGATTCTCCTGCCTCAGCCTCCTGAGTAGCTAGGATTACAGGTACCTGCCACCACGCCCAGCTAATTTTTGCATTTTTAGTAGAGGCAGGGTTTCACAATGTTGGCCAGGCTGGTCTCAAACTCGTGACCTCAAATGTTCCACCCACCTTGGCCACCCAAAGGGCGGGAATTACAGGCATGAGCCACTGCGCCAGCCACATGCCAGGGATTGGCCTCAAGACATGGGGACAGCCAGTCCCAGTGGCTCAGGCCTGTAATCCAACACTCTGGGAATCAGAGGGAGGTGGATCGCCTGAGGTCAGGAGTTCGAGACCAGGTTGGCCAACATGATGAAACCTTGTCTCTACTCAAAATAGAAAAAATTGGCTGGGCGTGCGGTGCCTACCTGTAATCCCAGCTACTCGGGAGGCTGATGCAGGAGCGATCCTTCCACCTCAGCCCCCCAAGTAGCTGGGACTACAGGTGCGTGCCACTATGTCTGGCTATTTTTTGTAGAGTTGGGGCCATGCTGTGTTGCCCACACTGGCCCCGAACTCCGGCTTCCCACAGTGCTGGGATTACAGGCATGAGCCACCATGCCTAGTCAGACACACATCTTCAGCCATGAGAAGAATGCAAAGCAAAACCACAATGAGCCGTCACTTCACATCTAACAAAATGGCTCAAATTAAAATGTCAGCATGGTCATTTTAGTGCTGGTGGGGATGTGGAGCAATAGGAACTGTCATATACTTTGGTAGGAAGGCTTAAAAGGTGCAACGACTTTGGAAGACAATTTGGCAGGTTTTATTTTAAGTTAAACATAGGGGTGGGGTATGGTGGCTCACGCCTGTAATTCAAGCACTTTGGGAGGGTGAGGCGGGCAGACTGCTTGAGGTCAGGAGTTTGAGACCAGCCTGGCCAACATGGTGAAACCCTGTCTCTACTACAAACACAAAAAATCAGCCGGGCGTGGTGGTGCGCACCTGTAATCCCAGCTGCTCCGAGGCTGAGGCAGGAGAATCGTTTGAACCTGGGAGGCGGAGGTTGTAGTGAGCCAAGATCGCACTGCTGCACTCCAGCCTGGGTGACAGAGCAAGATTCTGTCTCAGAAAACAAACAAAATGAAACAAAAACAAACAAAAAATCCCAACGTAAGTTAAATGTAGGCTGGTCACGGTGACTCATACCTATAATCCCAGCGCTTTGGGAGGTGCAGGAGGGAAGATTGTTGGAGCCCAGGAGGCTGAGGCTGCAGTGAGCTGTGATGACGCCAGTGTACTGAAGCATGGGCGACAGAGCAAGACCCTGTCTTTAAAAAAAAACAAAAACAAAAAAAGGCCAGGCATGGTGGCTCACACCTGTAATCCCGGCTACTCAGGAGGCAGAGGTGGGAGGATCGCTTGAGCTAAGGAGTTCGTGACCAGCCTGGACAACACAGTGAGGCCAGGTCTCTAGAAAAGAATTATTTTAATTAGCCAGGTGTGGTGGTATGTGCCTGTAGTCCCGGCTTCTCAGGAGGCAGAGGTGGGAGGATCACGAGCCCAGGAGTTCGAGGCTGCAATGAGCTGAGATTGTACCATTCCACTCCAGCGTAGATGACAGGGTGATCCTCTGTCCCATAAATAAGTGAATAGGCTGCAATCACATACTCCAGACAGAGTGGCTGAAGCCACAGACATTTATTTTTCCGTAATTCTTTTTTTTTTTTTTTTTTTGAGTCAGAGTTTCGCTCTTGTTACCCAGGCTGGAGTGCAATGGCGCGATCTCGGCTCACCGCAACCTCCGCCTCCTGGGTTCAGGCAATTCTCCTGCCTCAGCCTCCTAAGTAGCTGGGATTACAGGCATGCGCCACCATGCCCAGCTAATTTTTTGTATTTTTAGTAGAGACGGGGTTTCACCATGTTGACCAGGATGGTCTCGATCTCTTGACCTCGTGATCCACCCGCCTCGGCCTCCCAAAGTGCTGGGATTACAGGCATGAGCCACCGCGCCCGGCCTTTTCCGTAATTCTTGAGGCTGGAAGTTTGATATCAAGGTGTCAGTTGATTTATTTTTTTTTTGAGGCATCTCTGCTTGGCTGGCAGATGACCACCTTCTCTGTCCTCACATGGTATTCCCTCTGCGTATAATCTGCTCTGCTTCTGAGGACACCAGTAAATTAGATCAGGACCCACATACAGACTTTTTTAAACTTAATTATCTCTCTCTCTTTTTTAAGATGGAGTCTGGCGGCTTTGTTGTCCAGGCCGGAGTGCATGGCACGATCTCGGCTCACTGCAACCTCTACCTCCAGAGTTCAAGCGATTCTTGTGCCTCAGCCTCCCGAGTAGCTGGGACTGTGGGCACTCGCCACCATGCCTGGCTAAGTTTTGTATTTTTAGTAGAGACGGAGTTTTACCCTGTTGGCTAGGCTGGTCTCAAACTCCTGATCTCAAGCGATCTGCCTGCCTCAGTCTCCCAAAGTGCTGGGATTACAGGCGTGGCCGACTATTTTAACTTAATTATCTTTTTGAAGACCTTATCTCAATCAGCTTGGTTCTAACAAATTTTTAAAAATAGACCTTATCTCCTATTTTAGTCCATTCAGGATGCTGCAACAAATGCTATAAACTGGCGGCTTGTAAATAACAGAAATTTATTTCTCACGGTCCTGGAGGTGGGAAAGTTCAATATCAAAATGTCGGCAGATTCACTGCCTGGTAAGGGCTGGCTTCCTGGTCATAGATGGTGTCTTCTCTTGATGTTCCCATGTGGTATAAGGAGCAAGGAGCTTCTTGGTGGCTTCCTGTGGAAAGGCACTAATCCCATTATGAGGGCCCCACCCTCATGACCTAATCACCTCCCAAGGGCCCCACTTCCTAATCTTGGCTCACTGCAACCTCCACCTCCTGGGTTCGAGCGACTCTTCTGCCTCAGCCTCCCTAGTAGCTGGGATTACAGGCGCCTACCACCACACCCAGTTAATTTTTATATTTTTAGTAAGATGGAATTTCACCATGTTGAGCAAGCTGGTCTTGAACTCCTGATCTTAGGTGATCCACCTGCCTTGGCCTCCCAATGTGCTGGGAGTACAGGTGTGAGCCATTGCACCTGGCCGACAGTTTATTTTAAATTTATTTATTTACGTATGTATTTGAGACAGGGTCTCACTCTGTCATCCAGGCTGGAGTGCAGTGGTGCAATCATAGCTCACTGCAGCCTCGACCTCCTGGGCTCAAGTGATCCTCCCACCTCAGCCTCTTGAGTAGCTGGGACTACAGGAACACATCACCACACCCAGCTAATTTTGTTTGTTTTGTGACGGAGTCTCCCTCTTTCACCCGGGCTGGACGGAAGTGGCGTGATCTTGGCTCACTGTAGCCTCCCTCCCTGGGGTTCAAGTGATTCGCCTGCCTCAGCCCACTGAGTAGCTGGAATTGCAGGCACCTGCCACCACGCCTGGCTAATTTTTTATATTTTTAGTAGTGATGGGGTTTCACCATGTTGGTCAGGCTGGTCTTGAACTCCTGACGTCGTGATCCACCCACCTCGGCCTCTCAAAGTGCTGGGATTACAGGCGTGAGCCACTGAGCCCAGCCGACAAAATTTTAAGTATGGAAAGCAGATCAGTGGCTGTCAGGAGCTGAGGTGGAAGGAGAGGTTATCCACAAGAGGGACAGAGGAATTTGGGGAGGAAAGGGACTGTTCTGCATCTTGAATGTGGCGGTAGTTACACAACTACATGTGTTTTATAGACTTGCAGAATTTGCCCAGCGTCATGGCCCAAAAGGAGGCTGAGGTGGGAGGCTCACCTGAGGCCAGACTTTGAGACTAGCCTGGGTAACATGGTGAAACCCCGTCTCTGCAAAAAAATACAAAACTTTAGCTGGGCATGGTGGCATGTGCCTGTAGTCCCAGCTACTCAGGAGGCTGATGTGGGAGAATCACTTGAGCCTGGGAGGCAGAGGTTGCAGTGAGCCGAAATCGCAGCACTGCACTCCAGCCTGGGCCACAGAGCCAGATCCTGTCTCAAAAACAAACAAATAAAAAAAACACACACACAAAAAAAAACCTTACAGAACTTTGTGGCTAAATTCTACCTTAATCTAAAAAGAAAAGGACAAAGAGAGCAACCTTTGGGTTTCCCAAATCTGTTCAAATTCTGGCTTTTTTTTTTTTTTTTTTTTT